AGGGTTTTATATGAGAATAATCATACAGCTTTTATTGTGTCTGCTAAGGAGATATTAAAACACTCTCAAAACTTTACAAAGAGCCAGTCATTGAAAGCATTAATAGTACCCATTTTGTTTGGATAACTCAATTGGCTGCGAAGTAAATAACCCATTAGGGATTGGTCACACATGGGGGAGTGACCATTGTGTGACTGGGCCCTTATCCTTTTAAAAATATGGTTACTTGTCTTAAAAGTCTTGAAAACAAGGTATTATATATTCTTTGGGGTTAAATGAAGATTTTGACTCTCTCCAAGAATAAAATATAGTCTAACATTTGCACGCGTTTGTCTACAGATGTGGTGGAAAGCTCATCGTTGTGGTCTGACAGTGAACATCAGTGAAGGACGACAGCTGCTACACAGGGACACTCCGATCACCAGCAACCTGAAGCACTTCCAGCCAACACAGGACCAGTTTAAAAAGGACTTCTGTATGTGTGTGCAGGTAACTGGGCCTGCACTGGCAGAAGGAACACCTCCACTGTGGATCCGAAATGTCTTAATGGTCACTAGTCTGCCCCCTGAATGCTGCGTGGAGACTTTGCTGTCACTGTACACCCACCTGTATGTTTAGTTACAGAAGTAGTGATTTAGTGATGTTTGTTGATGTTTATTGAAGTTAACAACCACTTTTCCAAAGGGACTGTTTAGTTTTTAGTTACTCTAAATTAACTTATGGGTCTATCCTACTTTAAATGAAACAGTGCCTAGTTGATGCTTTTCTAAACAAGTGCTTGTCAAGATAAGTTTGACTTGTTTTCCAAAAGGATGAAGCCGAGAGAGGCCTGTTGTGAAAATGTGACCTACATGTTTTTTTCTTTTTGATTCTTGAGGTGGCTTATTTATAGACCCTTGAATGTGTTTCAGTAGAGGGCAGGTGTTTACAAAGACTGTGTGAAAGCTAGTGAGCGTGTGAGATATTGGCTGTGAATATGAACATGTGTGTCCTCATCTTGATGTGATTTGTGTGTGTGTGTATGTGGGAGAGAGAGAGGGGCGAGTTTGTCTGTGACTCAGTCTAACCTGCGTTGGTTTCCGCTCCATGTATGGTGATACACACTGCGCTCCCTCTCTCCTCCTCCTGCTGCTTTGCTTCTCTGTCTTACACTCCGTGGTCATCTCCGCAATGAATTTACCAAAAGCAAACATTTGAAGTTTTATTTTATTAGTGGAGCATACAGATAAATTCAATTGGATTCTTATATAAGATGAGATATAATTTATTTGATTGAACTGTTTATGCTAGATTTTGGTTCTTGCACATTTGTTACTGTGCTGTAGCAAACGGTAGCCGACATATATGTACACTGTAGATTTTGTAGATACATTAGGAGTGGATGTACAGTTTGTATTATGCCCTGAAGCACAGGATCTCACCACTTTGCTTGCTTATAAGGTTTGACCAAATAGTTAATGGCTAGGTTCCAAACTGTTAAAATGTGTCTTAAAACAGCACTCACATGTACATCGAAAGAGTTACTGGTTGTTGTAAATTGATTCTTTTCTAAAGCAATTTCAATTAAGTGAAGGGGACAACATCCCCAGTCCTCGTTCTGTGTGAAAATATAGTCTACTCTAAGTTTAGTAGAAGCTAATATAAAACTATTTGGTGTAGAAGCTTGGTGACGTAGTGACTATACTCACAGGGCTAGTTAAATGAGGTTGGTGCAGTCAGTCACAATAGCTCCTGGACATCTTCTAATGGGACAAGAAGTTCACACAGTTTATTCCAAAGACATATTTGTACCATCGACTCTTTTCTCATAACCATTGTGAACAATGTCTCCTTTGTGGAGCAGTTCATACTCCGGCAGAGAAGGTAAAACTTTTCTTTTTATACTAAAAAGGCTGTAACTTTGGAAGATACCTACACATTAAGTCTTTCAGTGATGCACATTGAGTATTGTTTTAAGGACAAAGCTATGCTTTAAATCCTTGCTGAGCTCTCTTTCAGTGACTTTGAGATATTTCAGTTGAAGGTTTTAGTTGTGTTAAAAGTGTGGAGTGATTTTTTTTTTTTTATGTTTACATTTTATTTAGAGATAGAGTTGTTCTCTCCCGGCCTTGGTTTGTTGACTCAGTCTGAACAGTGAGGACTGTTCCTGTCCTGACTCGATGCCATCGCCATTCATTTGCCATGTTGACACCCTCACACACACACTTGAAGACACGCACACACACTTCCCCTCCCTTTCAGCTGCCTTCATATCTCTGGGATCTGTAGTCTTCTGGCAGTGAGGTGGGAATGTACGACTGTGAGCGCGAGAAGCTCACTTTGTATTGGTTGCCTTGTTTTGGACACTTTGATGTGAATGTATCTGTGTTGTGTTCGCGGCTAGAATAAAAGGCTTGCTCTTAATTTAACTGTTGTCTCTCTGTTGGATTCATTTATCTTTGAGCGCCTTTGAGTCTGAGAAGTTTGGCTGCGTACTTTTTTGTTTCATGTCGTGATGTTAGGTCTGTTTGGTCCGTCGTCAGCTTTATGCTGAGAAGTTTTTCTTTTTACTGCTGCCGTACAATTAAGTCTAAATGAGTGCCATGGTCCAATGAAGAGAGCCTCAAAGTGTTTAAGTGGAATATCTTGGTTTAATCACATAAGTATTTCCGCAATTATCAAAGTCCTCTCCCTTTGCCTCTTGGTCATGAACACATTGTTGAGAAGGTGCTGAACGCTTTAAAGGACTCAATTGAAGAGTTAGACTTTCCAACTGTCTGTTTTATTTCATGATGGAAGTCCTCCTCAAGTGCAAGAAAAATTGTGTGGAACATAACTCTGACTTTGAAGAAACAAGTGTCTCTTTTTACTTCCCAAAAAGACAGCGGTAGGAGAGGCGAGGATTTAGAGAGCGAAGGCCCCCCCACATCCAGCTCAGGAAACTCCGGGCCCTCTGCTCTTCCTCTGCAGTGACGGCACTTAATCACACTCGCAGCGCCGTAATGCTCCTCCTCCTCCTCCTCCGATCTGCTCTCCTCTGTCAGAGTGATGTAGGGTCACGAGAATGGGGAAACACCTTCCAAGGAGAAAACACACATGCACACATGCACTTTCACAACACACACACACAAACACACACAGCGCTCCTCGCTGAGTGCTGAATGGTGAGAGAACGGCACATGCTGCAAGAGACGAACTTGGATAGCAACATTTCTCCAAACTGAAGGTAAGACACGTAAAAATTATTTCTATATTGAGAGTTATGAGATCAGTGGTTTCGAGACGACACAGATTCTGTTGTTTATTTTCACATTATAAGCAAGAATGTCTCCTTATCATGCTTGCTGCTCGGTTTTAGATTCAGTTTGAATGTGTGGCTCTTTGGCCTTTTCTCCAAAATTCCTTTTCCTTTTTCTTTTTAATTGTAGGTTACCAAGTATAGTAGCAGACTGTCACACTGATTTAAAAAGATGATCAATCGCCTGCTCTGACATTCCTGCATTCCTGCAACATTCAATATACAGTCTCTCAACCCTGACACTACCGAAAACACAGTAATTTAAATGCAAAATTTAGAAAGTTACTTAGCTTGAAACTATATTTTAAGATTTATGCATCTGTGTTTCTGCAAGCGCCGCTGCCTCATTTGATAAGCTTTTCAATCTTTTTTTGGTTTTGTCGCCTCAGAGCAAAATGTCAGCAAATGTGTCTTTTTCTGTTCTTCACTGAAGTCCAAAACAGTCCTATCATTATTTTTGAGGATAATTCTTTCCCAGAGCATGAAACCAGAGTTGTAACATGTGATCTCCTTCTGACGTTAGCGTTGGCTAAATTAAAAAGAGGAAAATACTTTGGGGGGTAATTACATCTAAAGGAGCTTTATTTTCTCCCAGCACTGTAAATTCTTCAGTAGATACTACATCCTCATGCGCAGACGGTCATGTCTATCCCTGGAGGTTTGTCAGTACAGATAAAGGGGATGGTACAAAACTTCTGTTTCTCCGGCTGTGGCCAACAGTCACGTTCACAGAGAGGCCTCTGTATGTTTGCTGGAATACAGGAGAAACAATACAGCCGCTAAAAACCCAACAGTGTGTGTGAATACAATAGAAATACCAAAATCAACCTTTTGTTCTTTTCTTCTGATGTTATTTAAACTCAATATGGAGAAAAGTATTGTAGCGGTAACCTTTTCCTGTGTCACAAACTGAGCTTACACATGATGGAAGTGACAAAATACAGAAAAAAAATATATGAAAAATTACTATTATTAAACCAAATAAGGACAAAGTTCATGTTTGATATGTTGTATGTATATTCTTTGCTAAAAAGTAAAGTCGATTATTAGCGTGTATGTTCACTAGAGGATTCACGTTTCCACGCCACACTTGTGTCCGCTGCATACTGGATCACGATTGGCTCCAAAGTAGTTGTGATGTCACAAATAATGCCGGTACATATGTTTGTGTGTTAAACTGAGATTTAAGGCTCCTTGTGTCAAACTCTGCTCATACGTGATTCTGCACAGTGAAGCTCAAACATCGTCATCTGAACTCAATTATAAAGCAGATGTGCACTTGTTTGAGTGGAGGGGGACTCTTTGAGGGTTAAGTACCTCCAGGGCCCCAAACTTTGAAGGTTAAACTAGCGGCTAATTGCGTTGAGAGGAACATTTGCTGCTGTTTTTTTGTCTCTGTAGTTCATCTTAGTTTGGTTAGATTTATCTTATACACCTGCCTTAAATGTAAACCTAAGAATAGGTCATGTACGTCTTCTTCCAGCCTCATGCTTCTTTTCAAACAGCTCTCAGTGTGATTATTTTCCACACCTGCCCCACTGTTTAACTTAAGATTAGATCACTGCCCGTCAGCCACAGTCCTGCTCTTTCTAAGCCCCCCGCACTCAATATCTTAGCAAAATATCAAAATATGCCAGTGTGGGTTTAGACAGTGATAACTAATAATGTCTGTCAGTGCTGTAGCCAGGGGCAGAGAGCGAGACTGTCCTCACAAACCAAAGCCAACAGTCCATTAGCGCAGAATGCTAACAGTCGGCCAGACTCTGGGAAATCTCAGAACATTGTCAAGGTCCGTGTGGAGACGACCAGGGCCGGCTGACCCAGAGCACCTTAATCCCAGTCGTTGTGTTTGTGTGTGTGTGTTAGTGTGTGTTGTGTGTGTAAGGTAATCACACAGTTCAAAGAAAACATTAGAAGCCAAATGAAGATAAGCTATAAACATGTTTTCGATTAATGTCAAGATGTATGTTTGGAGTTTTGGCAGAGTCTAATCGTTTGTGAGACCGCTGGCAGGGTGGCCTGGTGTGTGTCAGTCGCTCCCTGGTTATTATGACAAAGTCTCTAGAATGTGAACACTTTTTAATGCCCTGCTAAAACAGAGCGGGAAACGGGGATATATGCCAACTTAAAGCTGCTCGAATTTACATTTACACTTTACATACATGTGTTCGCCTGTTTCTGTATTTCGTCATGGTTAAAAGTCTTCAAATTTTTTAAAGGATAAAGAAATGGACCCACAATTCTTCACTCCTCCTGAGCACTGAAGACAGCGGAGAACCAGAGAGAACGGATACAGAGGAGAGATTTCTTCATCACCTGATTTGTGGAGCTTTAACATGGGATGAGCTCCTGACAACGGTGTCTTAAGGTTCTATCTTTATCATCCTCTCACTTATAAAACGTTCTTTATCCATCATACAAGAGGTCATTAAAGATATTATAAAATAAACCACATTGGAAGTGAATAATAGTTCCTTTCAGTGTTACAATAATCCTCCATTAGTCTGTGATCACATTGTATGCACACACTGTGCTTTATTTCCAGTTATTTGTTAGACTGTCTGATGCTTGTCTTCCCTGAACTGGGTTAACTTTGGTGGTTTTTGATAAGGTTTGTTGTTGCAGTGATTCCTGACACACTCCAAGTTAAACAGGCTTCAGCTTCAGTAGCGTCACACACTACGTCAGGCTGACACTGAGGAAACAAAAGGCAGTATGTGGAGGGACAGATCTGTTTACCTGATAACTCAGTGGCACTGACTTTCTGTGTAAATGTATTGCATGTATATAGAACTCTTCATCCAAAGTGCTCTACAATTCACCTCCTCACACACTCAACCCACGTTGGCAGCGAGCTACAGTTTAAGGTGCTGGCCCAGCCATCAGGAGCAATCTGTGGTTCAGTGCCCAAGCACACTTTGACTTAGCTAGGGATCAAACAGCTGATTTTGAGATTAGTGGACAACCCGCTGTACCTGCTGAGCCACAGCCACCCCGTGTGGTTTAGTGTAGTGTAGTGCTGATCTAAACTCATCCTCACCTCAACTGTATCTTAATGGTTCTGTCTACACACACTGAAGTTTACTCACTTTCGGAGGAGCCGATACATAACGCTCTTTGTGGCTGTTGACCACTAAGGCTAAACTAAGAAACTGTTGTACAGCCAAGTACGACACCATGAATGCCCCTTTGTCCCCCATTTCTTAAAGCCCCAGGTAGACAAAACCCACAGTTCTACTTCCATGAAAAAATGCATTCAAAAGACAATTCTGTACTGTAACTTTGGAAAGTCCCAGTTGAGTTGAAAGCTCAGGCTACTGTAGCCTCATGTCGTCTATTTCTTTTACTGAAGTCTCATTAGGAAGGGCAAAAAGCCACCGATAAGTCTTTCAGTGTACATTTAACTATCCTTTTAAGGTTGAAGCACTCAATCTAATTCATGGTATATACAGCTGGTTAGTATAAACACTTTCTGAGCTGTATCTTTACTGTACTCTCACTGCAGCGATCAGATTACTGTAGTGAGGTGAAAGAATGACATTACTAAATATAAAATAATAAGCGTACTTAATGCCAGCTCTTAACTTCTCACTTTTCCTGTCAGGGACCGTCTCTTTGGTTTGACGCACTGATGTATAAATATAAGTTGTTAATGTCTGTCAGCCTTCCAAGAACACTTGTGTTGCTTGTTTACACGTTTCCGTGCTCACACATGCAGTGCCTCTGGAAAGGAACTTCCTGTTTATGGCCAGCTGTGCCCTGTGTATCCTGACCGAGAGCCCAACCAGATCCTGGCCTCTGAGCTCTGAACCCTAACCCTGGAGGGGCAGGGGGGTCGACAGGGAGAAAATGCGGTGCACCACCCTCTTGGCCCTGCTGACCGGAGTCATGCTGTACCTGGTGATGGGAGCGCTTGTTTTCCGCACCCTGGAGGCCCCCGATGAGAATTCGGCGTACAAAGACCTGCTTGCTACCAAGCACACGTTCCTCGATAATAAGTCCTGTGTCACCGAGCTGGAGTTCCACAAGCTTGTGAAGGTACCATTGGACACGTCAAGCAATCCGCCATTACACAAACATTGACTGTGAGGATGTGGCTACAACTTTACAACAGTTTTAACACAGTTTTTGCTCTTTCTGATTTAAACTTGACGGGGGTACAACACACGTCCATTTTAAGGGCTGTTACATTAGCTTCCACAAAACAAACATTGTTTTGGGATTTTGGTGTTTTTTGGTGTATGTAGAGGTTTAAAGTGCTGTAACTCCAGTAAATCTGTAGAATATACAGCAGGTTTAAAGCACAACCTGGAACGCAACATTTTGGATCAAATATATCTCTGACACCTGACGTTAATGATCTTTGGAGCAGAGGTTTTCAATCCGTGATGCCCCCTGGGGAGGCGGGGAAGTGTTTAAGGGGAGGTGTTGAGGGAGAGACGTGAGGCAAAAATACTGTGTGAGGTGAGTTGTGCAATTCAAGTAAAAAACTATACTTCACAGACTCAGTCAAATCCTAACACACAGACACCCACACATACAAAACTTAAGAGCATGATTATCTAACAAATAGAACTAAGGCAAAGAAATAATAGTGACAAATCCATATTTAGTGCTGCATAAAAGTTCTTTAGACAGTACTGAGGCTCGCCTTCCCATACTCCTCAAACACTGACACTCTCCGTTATATACAGATATTTGCAGTGTAAACTCCAGCTGTGGGGTCAGGGTTTGGGGGGATTGCAGTTCTCTGTGTGCCAAATATTGTTGGCTACGTTAGATACACTGCAATTAAAACAGCTTTATGTACCAGTGAGTTAATAAAGTTTATTGACATTGCACTAAGTATAGCAGAGGGGTGTTTCATGAAGCAAGATTACCTGTTAAACCAGGATTATTTCAGTGAGTCAGGTTTATTTTCAGGAAATTCTGTTTCATAAAGGGGATTTAAATAAGTCTGACATAAGTTACCTTGGAAACCTATCCCTCCAGACTAATCTGGTCCTGGCCAGGCTAGTCTTCAGGCCTCAGCTTCACCTTGAGCTGAACCAGTGTTACAATCAATCTGCCAGACTGAAACACACAGTTCCTCCCCGAAGGTCTTTTGCAAGGTTCACGGCCACCATGGTTTCTCCGTTGTGGTTTGAAAAGGAGGTGAAGCATAGAAGTGGCAATCTGCGACTACAACACTAGATAAATACCAGACACTGGTCCTTTTTATGAAATCATATACCAAAAAAAAAAGAATGAAGACTTTTAGTTTTGATACTTCGAGTAGTCATAGAGAAACTATGTCTCTAGATATTCTCTAGCAAACTGTTTTTTTTTCTTGTTGTAAAATAAATAAACTGGCTTGCATCCTATTGTTTAGGGATTTGTGTTGAAGGCTTAATTCACAGTTAAATAAATTACATCCCTTCTCTTCAGGGAGTGGCGTCTGCGGTGGAGGCAGGCCTGGATGTGCGCAGCCTTCCTGCCAACTTCACCAGCCGCTGGGACCTTGCTTCCGCCTTCTTCTTCTGTGGTACCATCATTACCACCATAGGTAGGTGGGGACTCCCCTTCAGGCTGCACTGTGAAGATCAAATAAAATGCTCTCTTAAGTGAAGACATCTGTTGGAAAGATTATATACCTATATACTCAACCTCAACTCTAATCTGTGAAAACATTTTACTTGTTTGACTGTTAACTGCAGGAGACTGTTGATCCATAGCAACACTAATTGATTTCACTGAAGTGCAAACGTGAAAACCAGAAAACCTTTTTAAAATATATTCTGGTCTCACATGAATGTCCAATACATCAGATCTATAACGTCTTTGTTTTGTTTGGAGGACAATTTCAATCAGTAATATGTATATACGACTAGTGTAGGTACTATTATATCATTTGATTATTTATTATTATTTTTAGTTCAACTATTATTATCGTAATTTGAACTTAGACTTTTTACTGTTTTACATTCCTCTTTAATTTTCTCTTTTCGTCTTTTAATTTTAAATACTTTATAATCAGTTGGTCGCAGGTATGACGTTGTCAGAATGGGTCTTGTTGGTCATATTTGTTAAATGAGAAGGTTGCTGATACAGAATATGTTCATTATAACGACTTATATTGTATAATCCCAAAGAGACCTTAAATTATATATATGAACTTTAAGATGGATGCTCCCCCCCCCCTTCTTTATAACTTCCTCACGTAATATTAAAATTCTATTATCCGCGCGCCGAACGTCTGAAAGGATCCTCCTCCCGCCTGCTCTCGCGCCCGTAGCTTCTGGCTCACCGCGCCGTTGCCTGCCGCCCGGCGCATTGTCTCCTCCGACCGTGGTAAGGCCAGTTTGTTCTGTGTGTGATCATGCCTGATGGGGATATCCCCATGTTTTGGCATTACTGCTTGTCTGGGAGTTGTTTGGTGACACTATGTGTGCAGTGCCTGCGGTAGACTGTGCCTAAATTGAGTACCTCTTTTCCTGGTTGAGTAATAGGTCTGTCTGGCCAGTTGACCAATCTTCAGTTGGATTTATCGAGTGCCAGACCAGTCTTTTCTTTACTTTGTTGTCTTAGGCAGCAGAATATTGTGGGTTCTGTGTGATTTTGGTTAAGAACTTAGCTCAAAAATTTCTGCCTGGATGTGAGTCACATTCATGAATAGTCTCTGTAGTTTATTAAAGTAACTGTCCATTGTCAGTTTTGTCAGTTGCCTTTTTAAAGCAGTGGTCATCCATACCTGGGGATTGGGACCCCAACTAGGGGTCGCTAAATCTTCACAGGGGGGCACGAAGCAGTCTTGATTTCAAGGTGTGTCAGAAAAGAATATATACACCGTAGATGTATATCTCGTTTCTGTGAAGAAAACTAAATGAAATTGTTGTTTAAAGTTTAGATTATTATTTAAGATGTAAAGTTTAAAGACCTGAATACAAACTATATTCAATCTGGTTGTTAATGTAGGATGATGCTGTTTAGCAAAGAGCTAATAGAACAATGAGAAACACTGAATTTATCAGAAAAGAAGCCTATTAGGTCTGTATGGTTGTTAAAAATTAAAAAATACACCGACAGAGAATTGTAGAAACGGTTCCTAAAAATATCAGCAAAACTCATCTCTGGTCAATATTAACAGGAAATAATCTAGTAGCCATGTAGTCAGATAATAGAATAGAAAAACCCATAATAGAAAAAAGGTTTGGAACCACTGGTTTACAGGAAGGAATAATGCAGCGATGCTAAATGAAGTAGCTAGAAGTACACGCTGCCTCCACATAAGTCACAAAAAGGAAACTGTCTCTGCCAGTGATCATTTATCTCAAACCTGTATTACACTGAAGGTCTGTTGATAATGCAGGACTGTTAGCAGCACTGTCTGCATACATCAGCTCCTGAGAGGTGACACATACTGTGTAGCTGCGGCTCTGAGCACATACTCAGAAAATTTGCTCAAGGGTACCATGGCAGGGGGGAGCTGAGGAAGAGGACATACTTACTTATACCGTCAGGAATCTTCAAACCTGGAAATAAAGATCGGCTAAACAACACTTAAACAGAGATACCCTACAAGGAGAGCTATCACCACATTGTTTTATTAAATCCAGTTTAATGTGTAACTATTGTTCAAGTCTTAAGTATTTATTATTATTCATTCTGCCGCTGTATTTGTGGTTTGCCTCTCTCTCTCAGAAACGTAAGGTCAGGCCGACCACTGTGCGCGTGATCTCAGCGGTTCTCTCCATCCTGATTGGTTGTCTTATTTTCCTCGCCGTGCCGACAGTCGTGTTTCAGAAAGTGGAGGACTGGTCGTTTCTGGAGTCGCTTTACTTTGTAGTCATCACTCTCACTACTGTTGGCTTTGGAGACTATGTACCAGGTACTGACACACACACACACACACACACACACACACAACCTCATGTCGTTATTTTAAACAGACAAGAAGCTCAGTGACAATATTGTCCCATTGATCCAGCTTATTGTCAGTATAAATTCATTCCAACATTTATTTTATTTTATTTTATCGTATTATGAAAATAATCATTCAGCTGTATGTGTGTGATACCGGTCTGGTATCTCTACTGTATGTTAAAGCCTCTTCTGTAACTTCTCCCTTGCTGAGGTTTCTCCTCCCTACCTGCTGCAGGACTGTTCTGTATCAAGACCTCTGTCCTCAGTGAGGGGCTACACAAAGGGGAATACTGTATTTCTGTGTGTCCCATTGAATCCCTCTTAAGACCACTTCCTCTGTGTCCAGGTGGCGGTCGTGAGGGCATGTTCTTCAAGCCTCTGGTGTTGTTGTGGATCGTGTTTGGTCTCGCCTACTTTGCCTCCATCCTCACCATGATAGGCAACTGGCTGAGGGTGCTGTCTAAGAGGACCCGCGCTGAGGTGAGAGATTTGACAGACAGCCAGGGATTTACCCCAAGAGAGGATCTCATTTAGAGGCTCATATTTTCTCCTCTGCTGCTTATGTTTCTCTCTTCCTCAGATGGAGGAGTTGAGGGCCCATGCTACAGACTGGACCCAGAACATCCAGAACATGTCCATGGACTTCCGCATCCCGAACCCTCTGGAGTTCAACGACCCCTTCCTCCTGCAGCGCCGGCGCTGGAAACGCAGCGAGCGTCGTCGCATCCGCCGGGGAGCCCAGGTCACTCTGGGACACTGGGCTCGAGGAGCATCCGAGAACGGACACCTACCGAACCGCTGGGGAGGCCTCTCCAACTCCATGAGCCAACTGGAGGCCCATTCGTCTCTTGAGAGGGCGGTGGTGGCCAAGTCCAGACCACGGGTCACTGCTGCTGGAGGTGGAACGGGTCCAAGACTGGTGCCCGGATTGAGGGTTGACCCCACTGTGGGCCTGCAGGTGGAGGGCAGGCCGTTTCCTCACCTGCTGGCCCGCTCATTCTCCCTCCCTGTGGCCCGCTCCACCTTAGAGCTGGACTCAGCAGGTGCAGCCTTGCAGGGAAGATCTATGTCTGGATCTGAGTCTCCTTTTGATTCCAGATCAGACGTCTCCTCGGTCTCCTCGTCCTTCTTGGCGCTCCACAGGTTCCAGCCCTGCTGTACGGTCAGCAGCATGGAGGAGGGAGGAGCGAGAGCCACAGAAATGAACACAGCACAAGAGAAAAACAGGCTGATTCTAGCAGAGAAATATGAATCTGCAGCAAACAATAGCCACAAACACACACCTGCCCCTGTTTTTCTCCCTCACTCCTCTTCTCTTCCCCCTTTTATTCCTTCTTCTCGCCAATCAATTGTCCTTCCCTCACCTCCCCTCAACATGGCGTCTTCGGCCAGCTGCCAGCTGCTGGATTTCTTCGGAGAGAACCTGGCATACATCGACGAGTCCTCGGACACTCTAAGTGACCGCGCCCAGCCAGCAGCAAGCGAGGGGAGGAAGAGACGACCACGAAAACCCAAGAGGAGGAGCATGAGGAAGCAGCTGTCCCACAGGTGGAGCCCCACACAGGTGAGGAGGTCCAACAGTGACATGCGGCCACCTTCGAATCCTCCCACACCACCTCCAGACTCTTCCCTTTCAGACCTGCCCCCATCAGAGAACCAGACAGGTTCAGCTCAGCCACAAAGTCAAGATGTGACAGAACATAATAGTTAACAACAGACATGACGTTCCTACCACTCTGAACATGTTCATGCTTAGCCTCACAAAGTCAGCACACACATTTTACTTTGTTACTTTGTGATCTGTTGATCTGATGTTTAGCTGGTATAATATTTACCTTGTTTGCACTAGAAAAGAAGACGAGTCATCAAAGTTGTTACGGGTCTGTACCAATACCCACACTTGCAGTCACACGCACCAGCAGGTTGTAGGTACCACGTCAGAAAAACACAAACACACAGTACACTTGGTGCACACTTTACCTATTCAAAGCTGAGAGTATAAAATACATATATTAAAAATATATGAGACAGAAATCATCATACATCATCATACAGAATACATGCACAACTCTATTTAATTTAACATTATAACTCCTCTCAGCTCCTTAATGTGCGTTTTTGATGTGATTGTACGGCTGAGCTCGGTTGTGCCTTTCTGTGAGCGACTGGATGTCCTTATTAATCAAGGCCGAGTCAGTTCTGATAAACTTCCACAGGCTTGTGATCTTAACAGACACTTGAGCACTGTGGCAATTATGGGAAAATGCATCACACAACCAGACATTTGGGTACTACACAAGTGTGGGTATTGGTTATTTCCTGGCAGTCCATCCAGTAGTCCATCAAAAACAGATTTTGAAATAACGAGAGTGATAAAAGGCCCTCAATCACTCTTCCTTTTAAAGTCGACCACACCAAACAGCTGGTCATAACTTTTAGTGGTTTAAAGAGGTTGAGCCACATCATTATCCATCATTACACATAATTATCTACTTTGTTAATCTGTCCTTCAGCCGCTGAGCTCAATCAATTCTCAGCACATGTATTTAACTCTGAATCTCAGATTTAAGTGGCTTTGTGAGGCTAACTTTTGGTGACTGACTGATTCAGTGCAGGGCTTCCCACAGTGTTTTATAGCTGAGGTGGGCCACTACGCTAGAAACAAGAAATATATTTAATACTTTTGTGGCATTAAAAGGGAAAAAGAACACGTAAGTAAGAGGGGTTAAAAAGTGTGACTTGTTTTAGGACGTCATCTAGTAACAAAATTGAGCATAAGACACGATGCGTCGGGATCTGGGTGGCATACCACGACAGCTAAAAACAAATAAAAACTCTCTGGGGAAAACCCAGCAGCTGGTGGAGAACCGGAACCACAACAACAGTACAATAGTATCAAAGCACGACAGGGCCATCATTCACCCTCAGAGCAGTGTCAGTCTGTGTAATGCCGTCGTCCTGACAATGGAAAACTGACACTGTCCAGTTGTGTGAGGGATGAAGCAGGTGGCTACTGCTCTTCAATGTCTTTAAGGGTTAAAAAGGGCAAAGGTCAGACCGAGTTGCTGTCCACTGCTTTGTGTTAAAACTTGTGTGCTCCTTACACCCCGATAAGCATCTTTGTATGCCTGCCTTGAATGTAAGCGGTCAGAGGGCTATTAAAGCAACGCTGAGGTTATTATTAAGTTTGTGGTGTTTACCAACTATACTATCAAGTGTCCTTAAGTCACTGTTGGCAAGATTCTGCTTGTGACCACTTTTTGTTAGTGTTTTTATTTTTTTAAAAACTCTGCCCCTTTTGCCAAATAAATAACTGCAAGTTATCTTAGCTTGTGTACACACCTTTCAAGTACTGTACTGTTTGTCCTCGGTTGAACCCTGTTAGATTCCTCATAATGTATTAAAGTGATGATTATCAGACCTTTCTTAATACACACAATGTTATTTTACATTAACCTGAACAAGGCTGAACCTCTGCAGACGCCTTTGTGATTTATTTTATACATGTTTTTGATCGTCAATGGAGCAATGTTTGTGGGGCCCTGCCAGGAAACACTAATGTGCCCACAAAGGCGGTGGGAGACAAAGAAGGCAAGTTTGTAAACATGTAAACATTGCAGGTTTTTAACTTTTAAGAAAAAAAAAAAAAGTTTGTTTGAACTTCACACAATGTGTTTTGGGGAGTAAGAGTGAATGTAAACAGAAACATTGTTTACAAGAAAACACCACAGACTCCACACACATTCAAATAGTAGAAAGCCTAGGTACTGATATAAAACCAGGCTTGTGTCCCAGTTTCACTACTTATTGAGCTGTTTTTAAGTGTGTTCACAGTGGAAAGGTGCCAAAATGAACTGTTAGTATTCTTACTATAAAACAGTTGATGTTTGAGTGTGCTGTTAATGTACACCTGCCCTAGAAAGTAAATTATGATCGACAGCTCCAAAGAAAGAAACACAGAATCTCTACAAGATATTTTGGTTTCTCTTTGTTATGTTTAAAATCAGTTTGATGTATCATTTCCTTAAAGTATAAAGTATGGTAAAATGTCTCCTATAACAACTGCAACAATCATTATACAGAAATATATTAATATATATTACATAGAGTATAAAACTGGGACACAACGTGTTGTTTCCAAGCGTCCGTCCACTGGAGAGCATGAGATGCGTCATGACCTGGATCCTGAACCCTGAGAGTCCTGAATGAACTCAGCTCTTGGTGGATGTGGGATAAACAGTAAGTTCCTGCTTACTCAGAATCAGGAACTATGACAAGAGGCTATGGTGGCATTATGCCCTCCACCACAGCCAAAATAAGTAACTGACTGAATCCATGCTCAAATTCAGGCTCCCACATATTTTGTCATTTGTTGACAGAGGGTTGGAAGGAGGAAGATATTCACATGGCACTTTACTGCCGTGCTGACCACGACCCATCAGCCATATCGTCATCTGAGTCTGACTCCTGAACTTTGGGAAGGATGTTTTTCTACCTTATTTTTTATATACAATAAAAAAAGAAGGTGGAGAAGATGTTTGAATTGTGCCTCTCTGATGACTCAAGTCTTTCAGTTTCAGACTAAATATGTGGCCTTAAACTCTTAAACTCGTGTTTCAGACCTCATGATACGGGGCGCTGTTTGTAATGTGTAAAAGGCTCAAATTAACGGTCTATTGTGGAACATTTATAAGATTCAGAGTGAGATTTGCAAACTTTTAATATCTATTAACTGTTTTAAAGCATTACTAAATGCCTGTCTAATAACTGATTCTATAAAGGCAAGTGAAAGATATTTTTTTGTTTTCAAAGGTAAAGAAAATATTATACTTACAGAAAAATTATATTTATCTTAAAAAAATAAGTCACCTGTTTTAACAAATGAAAAAAAAAAAAACATTAAAATTTGTGAGGGGAAAAAAACATTTCTTTGCCTTTCAAGGCTTCCGTAGTTACTGAATACTAATTTAAATAAATTCACACATTTGCTTTCTTTATCTCAGTCTTCAATCTAAACTCTAAATCTGTTAGTTTTTATAATGCGTCATACCATCGGACCACAAGACACAGCTATCTGTTAAACATTAAAAATAACATGCATACTAAACCAAATAAAAATGAATCAATCATAATACTGTAATGTCTACATAATTTAAACTAAATTGCACCAAATAGCAGAATAAAGAAAACAAATGCAGAAAGTTGTCTGATAAAGGTCTAAAGTAATTTAACTTTAATGTATAATTTGTGAACAGTCAACTCAGTCTTTGTGCTTCACTGTTAAAAATCTATTGATGTTTTTATTTTACCAACATTTGTGTGGTTTCTAGTAAAAAGTACAAACAAAATGAAACTTTAGATACTCACATTGAACACATTGTTCACACTGACGTCCAGTTCAAACATCAAGAATAAAAGATCTAAACTGCTTCTCTTCTTATAGGAATATACGACGTAACATTCACGATATATTTTAGATTTAACATTTAAAATAAACATTTATTAGTGTTTCACAAGAAAACAATCATACAATCAACATTGCTTCTTTATTTTTAAGCTAACTGTGTCATTGTGAGCGAGTCATAATAAAGAGGGGCTGTTACATTATAGATGTGTTTGATATCACTTCAGGAAGTTCAACTCAATACAGATTGAACTGTTAAGTCAATGTAACTCTGTACCAGGAAGAGAAGAGACAGAAATGTCGCCCTCATCTGTTTGAACGGAGAACAGCGGGCCTCTGTGGGTTTGGCCTCTCAGCTGTTTTGTCCCAATAGGGCCTCAAGTACAGCTCTGGCCTCCAAGTTTGACTGCTCAAAGAATATGGCTTCAATAATGCTGAGGCCACAGATCGGGATCTTCTGTTTACGCCTGTGTCTCATTACCGCTCTGCTGCTTGTATAACCTTTTTATTTTGTGTTTATGGAGTCCTGTTGCCCTGAGAGCTGTATTTTAACTTAACTGCCAGAAATAAATAGGAACAATTTCAATCTAGTTGTGACGAATAAAGTGTCCAAACCTGTAATGGGAGTTATATTTGACGCAGACCATAAGGTGCAATTGCTTTCTGTCATCCTCAAAAACATTTTACAACTGTTATCAAAGGCTCTCTTTCTCTTTTGGTCAGTATGTGGAGTGTATGTGTGTGTGTGTGAGGAACCAGAGCCATGAATTATATTTTGCTATAAGGAGGCTACACAAGCCAGATGTATGTATATATGTATGTATGGGTGTGCTATAGATGCCTTTAGGGTCTGTGTGTACACTCCCTCTCAAGGTCAAATGCACAGACATGGTTTGTGAAGTGTGTGTGTGTGTGTGTGAGTGAGCGGGGGTCGATATCCACAGCAGACTTCCCCTCTCCAAGGACAGTGGGACCCAGTGTGAGACAGAGCAAGGCGCTCTACCGTGGGATAAGTACAGGTTGGATATAGCAAGGGGTAGTTAAGTGGAAAAGACTAACAGATGCTGGGGCTAGTTTACTCAGGGGGAGGGAGCCTCACCACAGCTCGAGCACTAGCACCCCGACAAACACACACACACACACACACACACACATAGTGAGGCTGCATTCTCACTGTGGCTTAGAAAAAACAATTTTACTGCAATGGCTGGAGAACAGTTTGTATCTCTTTAAGCTATTTTAACAGCTCGGATAAAAACCTCTTCAGTAAAGACAGACAGATTTCCTGCTGCTGAATTCAATTTCAGGACCTTAAAGGTTCAGTTCAACAAAAACATCAGGTACCTGTGGGGGCATCCAGCCATGCAGAGCGTTTGGGTTTACTAATATTACATTTAAGAGATTTCCGCCTCTAACTGAATGTAATGAAGGTTAATTGAATTCTGTCTGTGGTGCACAAAGCATTGAATAATGGCTCCTCATCAGCAGTCCAACTGTTTGGATTAGGTTTGTTTTTGTGAACCAGTCCTTTAAGAAACTCACAACTCGCCTTAAAAACAGTTGGTTGAGATCCCTTAAGTAGTCCCTGAAATATTGACAGGTGTGTATATACGGGGCGGAGGTCAAAACTAACTGTGATGTTATAAGGCTGAGGCTCATGGGTATTGTAGTATGTAGAGCTGTCCAACGTGCTAAAACGACAGAGTTGAAATAATTAAAATTGGTGGTCTTAACATAATCCTCTATGATCGACCAACAGAGTTCTGTGTTTCTATATTGAGCAACATGGAGGATATTGTTGAAAGAACAGATGTAAACCTCCCACTCTCATATCAGCCAATCAGAAACAAGTATTTCCTGCCGCTGTAATTCCAGTGAATGCATAAAAACCCCAGTCTACGTTAATACATCCATGACCGGATGTTGTTGTCAGGCTGGATTGCTTCCTATTCAACTAAAACTTTATTGTCAACCAGATTTTCAAAACACACACACACACACACACACAGAGCCCAAAAAATGAAGCAACATCTCACTTTCAGCAGAGTCACCGAGTGAAAATCCCGTCACAATAACCACAATGAAATTCACAATAAAAGCCAAGGAATCATTTCTGAGCTATCACGCATGACCTCACCAGCCACACACACACACACACACAAAACACACCCAGTCGCTCTCTGTCTCTTTCTCTTTCTCCCTCACACACACACACACACACACACAAACCACTGGCATACCAGAGAGTCTATATTTAAAATGAGCCCTGGGGATGTTTTTTATTTTCAGCATTTAGACATTCTATCAAAAGTGGTCAATGTGGATACTTGGGTGAAGAGAGAGACTGTGAGTGAGTTAGTGTGTGTTTGTGTGTATCAGTGAGACTGATGTTAAAACATAGGTATGACACAATATAATTATAGCCTAGGAATAGCAATGAGTCAACAGGTTTTTTTACAATAAGATAATAAATGCACATTCAGAGTGTGATTACTGAACGTTTGAGCCAGACCCAAATAGTTACAAATTTGCTAAGGCTGCAAAATACCACCTTCCAAACTTGTAGCCGTTCCAAATACAGCCCTATCATCCCACGTCTCATTTTCAAAGCCTCTCTTTTTCTGCTCGTCCCGGGTCCCTCTTCTCTCGTTCTCTCTCCTTCCCCAACGGACAAACTTTCCCCGACGAATCTTGCGAAGAAAGAGAGCAGGAGCGCGAACACGAAGGAATGAGGGGAGCATTTAAATCTAGCGTTCCGTGAGTGGTCGGGTCGGTGTCTGGAAATCTTTCACATCCTGTTTACGCCGGGCAGATTTCAGCCCGGGACCGCAGAGAGCTGGCAGGGCCCTCTGCCTGGACACAGCTCCTCTCTCTCTTTTCTATCTGCTCCCTGCCTCCCTCGCCCTAAAGATCACAGTCTGAAAACCTTTTTCCACACCGCCCTCCTTACTATCAACACCTTCAAACCTAAAGCAAACAAGCACACGTCTAGCTCGCTCCGCTCTGCCCGCGGGGCCACCAAGGACATAGCGAATGACGTGGGATTCGGGAAATCCTCTGAAAAAAAGAATCATTTATGTCTTTAACGACAGACCAAATTCCAACACATCAACCACAAAAACCCCGTTTAATATCCAAGTACAGGTTTAATACAGCTACGTTGTCATATTTACACTGTCCTATATGAAACGGAAAGTTCCAGAGAATCAAGAAAAATGAAGTTTTCATGCCTGTAAAGAATGGGAGCAAAATCCTGATATTTGAATCAGGAAGCGTAAAAATAAAACATCTCAAAAGTCTGCTAAAGGTGATCAAACAGCGAAGATTAATGAACGAAGGATCCGTCTGTCCTCTCGTCTTTATTTCCCCCCCGAACAAAGCCAGTTTGTAGTTCTGGTCCTGTTATCATTCACCTCTTCTTCCTCCGAACTCAGCGGCACTTGCAGGACTTGACCACCATGTTGGAGAGTTGCTCAACACGTGGCGTGCGGCCTATGAAGTACATAATGGTGAGGGGCTCCAGGTCCTGAGGAACGCAGCAGGGCGAGGCGGAGGCCTCAGGGTTCAGCTTGTTGTACAGGGGCAGGATCTGACCAGGGAGAAGAAATTCTCATTCAGTTTCTAAATAATAAGTTCAAACCTGTTACCTTAGCTTAGCATAATGACTGGAAACAGGGGAAACAAGTAACCTGGATCCGTCCAAAGGCGACAAAAGCACCTTTAAAGTTAATTAATTACCATTTATATCTTGTTTCTTTACTTCAAACCAAAGTATAAACATGATATGTTGTGTTTTTATGGAGGTTATGTGCAGTAACTCTCTGCTGTCTTCCCACATTGACGACCAGACTTCAGGCTAACTGTTTCCCACGGTCTCCAGTCTTCGTTCTAAGCTAAGCTAACAAACCGCTGGCTGCAGCTTCATTATTATCGTACAAACATGAGAGTGGTATCAATCTTCTCATCAAACTCTTGATAAGAAAGCAAACCAGCTTCAGATTGTTTTTAGAGTAAACCTCTTTACAGATAATAATAATTAATAATTCTGAACTTGCTGCTGTCACTGTGTTTTCCTATTTATACTTTACATGTAGAACAACAACTGCCCAACTCCATCAAATTAAGGAACCGAGCAAACCAATCGTATAAAGTCACAGTGCTGACAGCAGAACAAATGTCTCATTGCAGCAATCTACAGTGTCAAATAAATACACATCTATAATACAATGCAGGACATGAATGAAGAGAAATGAGGTTTTGTAAGAGTTGTGTGTCTTTGACAAACTAAGAGCCAAACAGGCCGAGTTACGTAAGCCTATATGTTCTGTTACAGGCTTCTGCGAGGTGACAGCCCATTTATGACGCTGGGGTTAACCAATTTTAGCTAACTATGTGTTTAGCAGCCACAAACAATGCACTTAAAGCTCATTTAAGAGCAAAAATCACACCGCATTTTAAAGTTTCTGTACATTGAAGTCAGGTTGGAGGTTGATTTAGACCAGACCAGAGAGTTTTACTGGAGAGGAGTTACTGACAGAAGTAGTTTTTTTGTTTTTTTGCAGATTTCTTATGTTGAGAGGTCTGTCACTGTTTCCATTCAAATTATTAAACCAAAATAAAAACAAGGTCATAAATCTGAAGATTACAACAAAATACAATTATTATTCTTTGCTTAACTTTACTAGAGGGTTAAAAACTTTATTAGTCTGAGTGGATATTTCTGTTGTGGTGGCATGTTTCACAGAGACTGAGAGAAATTAACGGTTGTTCTTTTTACATACATATATATATATATATATATATTTGGCCTTTAATGGATAGTGTCTATAGAGTGACAGTAAAAGGGGGAGAGAGGGGGGAGGGGTCCAACCCTGGTCGCTGCAGGTCTCGGCTTTGGTACACGGGGCACCAGCTCTACCAGGTGAGCTACCAGGGTGCCCTGACCGCTGACATACCAAGATATTTGTTTATTAGACATATCTGTGAGGATGAGGTATACTGATACTTTTTTGGTGCTTCACAGCTTTGAATACTACAACGGACACATTCACCAATAAAGTATCAATACCCAGCTCATATGTCATCTTCCAGAAATAGCCCAACTCACCATGTTATAGTGGTTGTTGGCACTCCAGATGTACGGACAGTTGCCGGCACAGAAGTTGGCTTTGTAACCTTTGGGCTCATGGATCCATTTCCAGTTGAGGTCACGCCTGAAGTCGATGTAGAGCGAGCGCAGGCAGCAGCCCTGCTCCGAGCCGCTGAGACACAACATACACACACAAATATTTTAACTCACATTGTGCTTCAAGGTCTGGGGCAAGGACCCAAAGTTGGGTCATGGGAAAATGACAACGGGTCACCATTGAAGAACCAGCCATCACAAGGTAATGACTATGTGAGGCTGCCAGAGTTTTCCCCTGCAGCGTGAGGTAGTCTAAATAAAACACTGCATGCCTGTTGGCCTGCAGTCTAAACACAGGGTCAATATTGTTAGTTTTTCCCTCACAATAGTCTGCAAAGTGAGTTTTGGGTCAGGAAGGGGAAAAAAAACTGAAATCCACTGCCCACCACAACTAGATTTCAGAATAATAAAAACTACAAATCCTGGAAGAAAGTCAGCGCTGTAAGTCAGTCACATAAACACACACATGCGGCTGGTTGGCGGCCTACCGGGAGCAGGTTGTGGTGTCTGTGGCGGCCGCCCTCTTCTTGCGGTTCTTCTTGGCCGGGTTGTCCACTCGGTCGCTGGGCAGCACGGTGAGGATGAGGTGTGGCGTCTTGGTGCTGAAATCTGCCTGGCCTTTAACCTGCCCGGGCTTTCTCATCTGACGAAGCCTCTCATCGTCCACACCTACGGACAGTAGAGAGTTAATACAGTGGTTCTCAAGGTGGGGGTCGGGACCCGCAAAGGGGTCGCAGGATAAACCTGAAGGGTCACACAATGATTAAGGAGAAATCTTTGCTTTTTTATTGTGAAATACTGGATCATTTTCCCCCTTTACTCGCTTGTAAAAAGAGAACATCACTCATTAGTGGAGCTGCTCACAACTCGAGATCTTTCATCAGAAGTTGTTTTTGTTTGGACAGGAGCAACTGTTTATAACTGATCAATCACAGATGACTTCTATTTATATGATTTGGTTGTCTCCCTCATGTTGAGAGGTCTGTCACTGTTTCCAGCAAACAGAAAAACAAGGTCATAAATCTGGTTTCTAGTTGTGAAGATTCAAATGTGCGACACAAAAGTCTCACATTAACCCTCAAGTTCACTTTGAATTATACAACAAAAGATCGCAACTATTTTTGCAATTTTCACTTACTCCCACAGTTTAATTGCAAAAAATACTTACAAACATGCATTGCAATTTCCTTTAGAAAACCTGGCATGAAATCAGGGTTTTAAGAATACTGATACTGACTGATATATGTAATCTGTGACGAGGGTTTGTAAGTGAACATTGCTCTGTTTTAAAGGCTCCTGAGTGAAAAACATTTGGGAACTATAGTTAGATATCTCTAGAGTTAATACCTACAGTTTGGATTTGAGGTAGTTCATTTACGGTAACAACCATGAATTCACAGATTATTTCATGAAGTTCCTCTAATAGAAAAGTGTTTCTCTACAATTTTTGGTTGTTGCTGGAAAGATATTACAGCCATTGACAGTATATATAATTTACAGCATATAGAAAGAAATACATACATGATAGAGTAGCTTCCTAAACCAGGAACGACAGCCTGACTACATCTGACTTTGTGGTTTTTCTGGGTCTTAGCAACTGACAGGAGCCCCAAACAAGCCCCTGCTTGTCTTACATCAGTATCAAAAGTTGACATTTTTTTCCAAGACGTAAAAAAAAAACTTGGCTCAGCTGAGTGTAAATCCTGAGGAAAGTGCCATAATTTAGGGCCTAAATGAAGCCACACAGACAGTCTAACATTCAATAGTTTCACAGTGTGGAAGAACAGTGGCTCCATTACTCCCGTAGGATAGTGAGCAAGTGATTCATGAATCATTTTAGAGGCGCCTTACAGAAGAGTCTCCACTTTATGTTCACATTTTGTGACCTGCGGGATTACTGCTGTGCTGATAAATCTTTCACAAGTGCTTTTAAAGCCTTTTTAAAGACATTTACAGCCAACCTGCTAGAGGTTCGCTCTCTATGATCACCAGGAGAAAACTGAGGGTAATTTTCACATGTAGCCCCCAATAAGATTAATGTTACACACTGACAACCAACATCTACAGAAACCCACTGCAGCTCTCAGGAAAGTCTAAAATCATCGTATTCAGACTGAATCTAAAGTCTCTTTCTCTGAGATCCTTTTTGTCTGTAAAAGGTGTGTTTGGCCAGTTACAAGATTTAGTGCCACTGGGGGTTGATCATTACCAGGACTTGTCTAACACGATGAAACACAAAGAACTGCAGCAAACCTGCAAAGAGAGCCTCCAGCTCCTCACTCTTGTTGGGAATGATGTTGTTGGTGGAAGGGACGAAGGTGCAGCAGGGACAGTGGACGCCCAGCTTTAGGCCAAGATTATTCTCTGATTGGTGGAATAGGAGACAGAAGGACAAACATTGAGATCGACTGATGAAGACGAAGTTCACAAACACTGTAAATGACTTGCTGCTACCGAGGCTGACCTGGATCTGACACCCACTCCTTAATGGTTTCGGTGACTTCCACAGAGATCCAGGCTCCCTTTGCTTTGGGTTGGACGGTGCGGGAATCAATGTAACGCTGAGTGGAGGTGCTCTCCTCATCTGGCTTCAGCAGCTAACACAGAACCACACAGAACAGTGATGGAGTTAATGTACAGATACAAAGTCTATCAGAATTTGTCTTAATTTCTTTTTGTATTACATTTTTGGGGCTTTTATTGCCTTTTTTCAGTAGTGACAGCTGAAAAGTGACAGGAGAAGGAGAGAGAGAGGGGACGACACAAAGCAAAGGGCCACAGAGTCGAACCCATGGCCGCAGCAGTAGCGACTCATCGCGCCCACATCTTCCTTCTTTTTTACATAACAAATGAACGGCATAGAGCACTTTTCATCACCAGGCATGTCAAATATGTGAGCTCTATCCTGAGGCAGAATTTTTTTTTTTTATATAAGAGGTGTAAAATGTCTCTGTAAAATCTAAATATACTTTAATTGGTGAAGATTTAGTGTCATAATAGTCTCAGTGGCCTGATTCCCAAAATCCTGAAAGGAGAAATCTACACAAAAAAAAAACAACAACTCTGGGCGCCCTGGTGGAGCTGACGCCACATGTGCCAGGGACGATCCTTTATCTGTGTGTCTTCCCCTCTTTCTCTCAGCTGAATCTATCGATTAAAGGCAAGTTAAAAATAAAAAAGGTATTTCTGGGCACATCTTACACATTTGAATGTTGCAAAGATGAAGAAACAAGTGAGTGAGATTTGAATTGATGTTGAACAACTCTTCTATAACAACTGGGACCTGAAGTGACTTTAAAGAAACAACATTTTGTGTATTTGGATGTAAAAGCTAAAAAAGACAAATCAATGCAGTCGTTTCTCACTGATATTTTTAACTACAGGTTTGTTTGGTGGTTCTGCTGCAGTCGGAGATGAACTGTCCTGCTGTTGTTTACCTGATAGATCTCCACTCTCTGCTCTGAGGCCCGGGCCTGCGGGTTGGGAGCTCTGAAGATCCTGAACTCAGCCTTGACCAGGGTGCTGTTGGTCAGGTCCACTCCACTGACGTCAAAGTGGACGACTCTGTAGTGGGGGTTGGGGGCTGCCGGCTGTACCGCATCTGGATGAACCAACAGAGTGTAAAAAGATGACTAATGATCCAACAACATCTCATGCCGTCTTTGACAATGCTTTATTTATACTTTCGGTTAAAACAGTGCTGTGATGCATTGTCTCGGACATAATTACTGCTGATGAGTGTCTCGAAACTAAATTATAGGTTTAGGCTTAGTGAGTAAATGTGTCTGGTCTTATGTTTAATATATGGGTAATTGTTGCGTTCATGCTGTATGAAACACCACCTCCCAACTAGACAGTTATATAATTATGTACCATGTACTATCCAGCGCCGTTAATCTTAAAATCTCACAAATAAGGTCCCTCAACATCAAGTGTTGTTTCTGTGAGAGCTGCCTGCGACCAACCACAGCTGGAAGTTTGCCTCCACACAGCTGCTCTGAAGGCATCAGGGGATTCAGTGCCTTGCTCAAGGGTTCATCTACAGAAGAGTAACTCCTGATAACTTTACTTTCTCCACCTTATTTCCCCAAACTTCTGTTTTACTAGAGAGAATTAGAAAGGCAATGACAAGTGATATTTGTTATTTATTATTTGTGTTCTAAGGTTGAGGTACTTTAGAGTTTCCATTTAGTGGAAATAGTAATATAATAATAATGTGTATATATATATATAATAATATATATATATATATAAAATATAATAGTAGTTTTTTTACCACATTTACTATCTGACAGCTTGATGAACTTTGTTTGTTTTACAGACATTTATAAAGAAAAAGAGCATTGTCACAGACTGAACAACCCAGGTACAAAGTAGTCTGAGTGACTTGGACCAGATAGACTTTAACCACAGGGAATGGACCAGTTCTGTGAATGTTGCTGCTGAAACTCCTCTACTAATATTTAAAGTGTTTTTTCACACTTCTGATACTTTTAATTGGGGACACTTTTTATTTGACAAACTAAATAAACCCTGTCACACATCCTCGTGGACTCACTTGTGTCTGTGCGGGGGGGCAGCATGTCGATCCTCTGCACCTCTTTGGCGTAATAGTCCTCCTCGCTGCTCTCGCGCTCGCACGCGGACTCGGCCAGACGCGCGCGCTCCTTCAGCAGCTCCCGCGTGCTGTTGTAGAGCAGTATGACCTCCGGGGGCACCGAGCCCGCCGGCGGGTCCTCGTCCTCGTCCGGCGGGCTGCGGATGCGCAGCTTGCTGAGGATCTGGCCGCGGACCGCCTCGATGCGGCGGGACTTCTGCTTGTCCAGGTTGATGGACTGGCACGTGTTGATCCCCTCCACCAGCAACACACCGGAGAACCGGAGCAGCAGCAGGAGCAGCGCGAGGCGGGGGAGCCACATTGTCCGGTGAGGAGACGGAGGGACTGAGATACTCCCTGAGGTCACCGTGGCTACAGCGGAGTCTCTAAACCTCGGGTGAAGAAATATGTGCGTAAAGTGGTTTAAACTTTAAAAGCGATGTCTCCAAAACCCTACAAAAGCCCAAAAGATCCAATATCCAGTTCTAGCAGGCTATTTTGGTCAAAACCACTTTCTGTGGCAAAAGAAACCCACATCTGCTGACTTTAGGTTTATTCTAAGGTGATTTTATAACATTGTTCATACATGCGCCTCCATATTTTAACACCGCACACATAAAGACACATTCTCCTTTATTCTCTAGAGTCTCAGTTTAACTTATTCAATCTAAAAGCAACAACTTTAAGGAGAAAAATCAGTACTAGAAAAACTGCTTCTACACGCCGAACTGATGTATCACTACAACCAAGCTCCACTGTGAAAAACTCAAATTTAGTGCGACTTTAATCCCGGTCTGGTGCGCTCGGGGACTCCGGTGTTGTCCCGTGCCGGTGCGTGCGCGCTTTCCGCGTGTGAAGATATTTAATTACAGTCTAACCGATAAGTTGGAGTTTTATCCGTCTCCGTTTTCCGTCGTCCATCCTCGAACAATTCAATCGCTTTTTTAGGGGAAAAGAGTCCTCACTGGAGCTCAGCCCATGTCGCAAATCCTCCAAACAAAAACCTGAGCTGTTCACTTTATCTGGAGCTGCATGGTTCCCGTGCTTTCACCTCCCAAAGACCCATCTGTGGAGCGAAAAACTGGCCCATAACCACTTCCACAAAATCTAGTTACAGCTTTAAAAAAAATATATATACCCAATGAGATCCTCCCATCCCCTGTTATAGGTAAACAGAAAGCAGTCTGCACTGAAACATAGGGAAAAAAATGTTGATTTATGTTGGAAAAACCATGGTGGGCCCGTTAATCCCCCTCACATAAACATCAAAACACGGAAAAAGTCAGACGACATAAAAAGACATGACGCAGAAAATATATGAAAGAAGTCCTTGTGCTGTGAATTTATAAAAAAAAAAGAAGAGGAAGCGTTACAGTCAATGACAGATCCTCAGTTTAAATGAGCTCTCAGCCTGATGTCTGCTGGCCTGAAAGCTCTGCTGCAAACACTGAGACCTGCTGCATGATGTGACTCCATTATTGTGCAGATCCTCTGTGAGAGAAGCGCAGAGCCTCAGACAGAAAGAGCTGGAGGGAGGGAGGGAGGGACTGGATGCGAGAGAGAGAGAGGTGGTGGTGGTGGTGGTGGTGGGGCGGGCTGCCACCAAAGTGAAGGGAGTGTGTGATTATGTAGGCAAGAGCCATCTTCCTCTCACCAGAACACACACACACACACATTGCAATTTCTTCCTTCCACAAAAATGCTTGCACCACCCTCTCTCTGCAGGTAAACATCCCCCTGAGCAGCATCAGCCTTAAAGGAGTAGTTCCACTGGAGATTGATAACTTACTGTTCTGGTTAGCTTAGCTTAGCATAAAGACTGCAAACGGGGGGAACAGCTAGCCTGGCTCTTTCCAAAGGTAATTAAATCCACCTACTAGCACATCTGAAGCTCATTAATCAACAGGTTATATGTTGTTTGTTTAATGCAAACAAAAAAAAAAGAAATTACTGGTCCCAGGTTAGGAAAAGTCGGACATATATTTGTCCATTAAACATTTTTTTATACTTCAGTTTTTGTACAAATGAAACAAAGGAGATATATTAATTAATGAGCGTTAGAGGTGCTGGTGTGTGGATATTGTTACCTCTTTGTTAGCCAGGCTAGCCGTTTCCCCCCGTTTCCAGGCTTTTTGCTAAGCTAAGCTAATAGAGGAGAGTTGTAAGCATCTGCCCAAGAAAACCAAGAAGCATCATTTCTCAAAATGTCAAACTTAATCTTTAAATATTAAAATTATGAAATGGACGATTGAGAAATAAGTAGATTTCAAAATGCAGCCTAAGTCATTTTCAGCTTTAGCTCCTTTGTGCCCATAGCTTAAGGCTTATCCTAATTTAATTAAATCACTCCAAAGCCCATCCCTTTTTATCTTTATCTTTTCTAGCTTTCAATCTAGGACCTTTCTTTCCTCTCTGTTCCTCTTCGGTCTCATTGTTAATTACAGCTCAGAACTTGGAGAGGACTGTTAATCTGTCAGGGGTGGCTTTTATTGCTGCTCTGCTGCCATCCCATTATACCGTTATTATAGTTGCGGGTGCAGGCCTGTAATTGCTGTAAGTAGAAGGGAAAGGTAGGAGAGACTGAGGCTGCCTCGAGGCTTCTGGTCAGGGCAAACCCCCCCTTCATCGTCTGTCCTGGCAAGGTTTCTAAAAATGATAACACCGCCTGCGAACAAACAGGCTCCTGTTCCAACTTGACTGCTGCTGCACCAGAAACGAATGGAAAGAAACTTATTTGTCTGTTTGGACCTCAACTTCTTCTTTCAGCAACCCTACAACGATCAGACACAACGTGGAGTATCGCCGCTCACAGCGGCCCGCCGCAGGTGGGGGTGTCTTCGTGTGTGTGGTGGTGCTGTAATGTGTGGCATGAAAGGAAAAAAAAAAAAAAAGACTTCCTCAAAACAACTTCTAGCCATGCCTGCTTTTTTCTGCCTCTTTTCCTCAAAGCCAAATATAGACAAGCCACTGCCACGTCATCTGGCCCTCAGCACTTTCTTAAACCCTGAGAGAGGACGAGATGGGGTTCAGAGGCTGCCTCTCACTCATGGAGCCTCCGGGGTTCATATTTTAGCATGTCTGTAATATAAATGAATTCATATTTTCCACAAAAACCTAAAAACAATTTTGGCTGTCGTTGAAATCAGGACAGTTTTATTGAAAAAGAAAAAGGAAAGAACCCAAACAGTTACAAAAATAAATACAGATAAAACCACTGGGGGTTCCTCTCGGGGAACATTTCCATCTGTTATTCTTCAGATCTTTTTCTTCCACTGGCAGCATCGGCCACTTAAATGTCATAACTACAATCAACCAAACAGTGTGGCCAATTCTCTCATGGCACCAACTTAAAGTCCAGCCTCCCTCTCTCTCCCTCAGTCCAATCTGAGTGACAGTTTGGGGTGAGGTTGTGTTTGCTGTCGTCTACACCTCTTCTTCGTTCAGCAGCATGTTGGGGATTCCTCTGGAGATCGGGAACTCTCGTCCTGATTCAGGGCACTGCAGACAGCCCTCGATCACCTCCACCTGCAACAAACACACACACACACACACACACACGGTCTAAATCAACCACTAGATGTCACCATAGAGCAGAATACACTATATGGCCAAAAGTATATGGACACCGATGTCGCCATGCTTTTGGTTTGGGGCTGGTTTGTGTGGTTTGGCCCAGGCTTAGTTCCAGTTGAGGGAAATCTTAATGCTACAGCATATTCTAGACCAGTGGTTCAATACAGGGCCATGGAACATTTGCTACTGGTCCACGAGGAAAAATATGACTCTGCAAACACAGCTTAATAATAATTATATAATATAAGAGCCTATTTTTTTGTGGTAATTCTCTTGAACTTACTTTTTCATTTTTCCTCCCCAAACAACATTTTTAATAAAAGTCGGTCATCAGCGTCCGAAGCAAGGCCGTTACCTGAATCTTGCTGAAGTTTATCCGTATTTTTAGATTTACTTATTTAATATGCAACCACAAAAGACCAAATACAGTTAAAAAGGTAACCTGTGGAGTTTCTGACCACGAGTAGTGTCATTTCTGTACTCCTATTTTCGTCATCTCCTACACGAGTGAGACACAGTCCTGTCAATGGCTTCACACTATTCCAATGACCTACAGGTGGCGGTAACGCACAGATTAATGGAGCATTGTGCCAAAAACGCAGCAAAGAAGAAGGTCGCAAAGTAAGTCCACACTAATGTGAACACATTTGTCAGACCTCAGGGATTCACACAATGTGTTGTGGTGAGCAACACTAAAGAAAACTCCACAAAGCACCTTCAACATTAGCATGGCATCTTATTGGACAGTGACAGTAGAGAGGATGACAGGCCCAAGCCGCTGCAGTAAGGACTGAATATGTGCTATGTGCTCTACCTGGTGAGCTACTGATGTCTCCCAGTTTTAGTTTAGTTTCTATCCTCACCCCTGTTCCCTTTTCTCTCTCTCCCTCCCATTTTCCAACTTTGTATCAAGGCCAGTCCGCAATGACACTGTCAATATAGAAACTATCTACAGTGCAAAAATGACCTCTGCTTTAGACAATAGAGTGCTTACAGCAGTTTGGGAAAGCCCCTTTCAATGTGACAGTGCCTCCTTTCACAAAGGCGGGTCCATACAGGAACAGCCCTGACCTCATCCAACACCTCATGAGATGAACTGAGACCAGCTCATTAATTCTCTTGTGCCTGAATGGGAGCAAATCTTAGCAAACAGGCTCCAATATCTGGTCACAGAGTTGCTCCTGATGGAAGGGCCTTAAATGGCCGCTGTGGGTGTGGGTGTGTGAATAATAAATACTAAAACACTTTTCCATTAAGGTAGAAATTGCTTTAGGAGTCCATTTAGCACTAATGCTAATGGTTTTGGAATGAGGTGTTCAACAATCACTGTGTGTGTGATAATATCTAAAACTATAGTATTTTAGTTCCTTACTGTTAAAGATGGTTTCAGGGTTGTTTGTGGTTTGACTGAAAATTAAAGAGCTAAAACAACTTGTGAATGAGAATATTTGCTCCAAAACAAGATCTTTGTAGCTGGAGTTGTTCTGATACGGAGTCAGCGAGTGCATGTTTGTGCACCAATCTGATACCCCAGAATTCATTAGCCCCAAAACGGGATTCTGCTAGTTCCCAGCAGCGTCCTGTTCACCATTCATAGGAGAGTGAAGTCATCTAAGTCACTTAGTATACACTGTAGTATACTAAGCCTGTTTGACTGATACTCTGTGTCAGTCAATACCCAAAGTTCAGGTATCCGGAAAGAAAAAAAGGTATCAGAACATCTCTACTTGTCACCACGGGGAAAAGAACCAGAGCTGCATCGATTAGTCAAATTGTTTTCCACCTTTATTTATTCAGGAGGGTTTCACTGAGAGCAATGCTCTCTTTTACAGGAACAACCAGATCACATTCACACGTTCACAGCAGAGCAAGTGCTGCCTTTCACTTTCCCCTTCTAGTCACAAGCTTACTTCTCTAACCTGCAGTCCACCATTGCCCTGGATTTATTGATTGATTACTTGTTTGACAGGACAATTAATCTGCATTATGTGTGTTAGGTACTCTGACAGTGAAAAGAAACACCAGCGTGAGTTCTGTGAGCTCCTTACCTCTAATAGCACTCTGTGCACTTTCTTCAGGAAGTCTTCGTTTTTCTCGTAGTCTGGCACGAGCTCACCCGGCAGGTCCTGCCGTTGACCCAACTATGGAAGGAAAACGGACAGTAACAGTTCAAACTGGGTGGCTGTAAATTCTTAAGAGGATGTTAGTGGGTGGAAGAAGAGAACAGTAATAGATATATAGAACAATAGATAAAAAAGAGCACAGCGAATAAATAAGTTACCACATTTACTTATAAAAAATACTACCAATATGTTCATTCTGTCTTGTTTCTGTCTTCATGCACATTTAAAAATGAGACTGACGTCACGAAAAAGAACAATCCCACATTGAATGTAGGGCAAGTACCTGTTTAACAGGTGTACAGTTAATATGTATATTTGTCCACTGAACATCAGCCGTGTTTTTCCATATATGTTCTTCGATGTTTGACATAAGTTTTCACAATGATCAAAAAAGTGTTTGCTTTAATTTTTTATAGAAAAACTGAGGTTGACTGAACTCCTGGGCAAAATTAAATGCAGCCCTAAATTGTCGATATCACCAAAATCCTCCTTGAGCTTTTGGAAGGATTGTAAAATGTCTGCCCTCCAAATAACTGATACACTTATCCAAACATGATTCCCACAGGTCAGTTTTTCCAGATTCCAACATATAAATTGTTTCAAATGGAAGGACATTGTTGATTATACTGAGAGATAAGCGACAGATTATAAGGTTTTATCCATATCTCTCTCTCTGGAATGCTTCAAAACTGGATCGGTGTTCATGCTAATGTGACATCTTCTGGATGTCTGCAGAGCCTCCGGTGCAGCCCGACTCACCCCCTCTGCAGCCTGGACCAGAGCGCTCCACTCCAGTTTGGGGATCATCCTGCTGACAAACTGAGGGTTGAACTCCACCTCGTTCATCTTCACCTCGGTTGCCTTCACAAACGAAACACCAGGAAGAAACAACACAGTTAGTGAGGGTCCCCACAGCGGTGTGGTGGTGCCTGAAGAAGCAGGTATAAAAGCCACCCACAAAATGTCTCAGTAGTAATTTGTGCATTGTCACTTAATTTCTGCTGCTCTTCACATTAAATTCTACAATAAACCAAGATTTTCCACACATTATGTTTTAATTACTGACAGGTACAGTGTAACATAAACATTATGGTCTTTTTAAAGGCTATTAATGGGAAACACTGCATATATTTCATCATTACAGAGATATATCACGTCAAGACATGTAAGCTGCATGTGCAACATCTGTGTGTGTATTTCAGCAGTATGAGGAGACAGTGAAGTGTCTGCTGCTCTAACTGGCTAATTACTCAAAACAAACTCCATTACAAAGGGTGTCTGAGTTTAAACTGAAAGCTTCGTTACAGTTAAAGAGCCTGACAGACAATCCTCCGACCTAATCCTGTAAATAAGCGTCTCTGTCTCCTTTTATTTCGGGGAGGAAAACAACAACAACAACAACATGTAAACATAATTCAGCGGTGAAAGATACGAAACACCGACGGAGCTTCGGTTCCTCACAGGAGCAGAACAACGTTGAGAGGACTCGCACCGCGGTCGGGCTCGGGGTGCGTTCAACTTCTCTTTGAAAGAAATGTGACACAAACCAAAACAAAAAACAAAAACAA